GTAACTAAGTTATCGAGAAAAACAATCTACCCTAACAAAAGTCTATTTTGTTAATTTATTTAAGTAACCCAAATGATACTATTTCATATACACGTTACTTAGCCGATGTCAGGATAATATTTCTTCTTTCAAATGGAGTTTGGCGCAACTGCAAAAACGAATACATGTTCATCTTCTAGTTCTACTGCTAAAATGGTGGCGCACTATTGTGAAACGGCCGTACTAATCACAGATACAACTACCAATTTCAAAGCGCTAGTTAGGGTTGGAGCCTCGCATTTCGTGTTGATGCTGTGTGATGTAATGCAATAAACTATGAACTAGCTCGTTTTAGCTTTTCCACAAATCGAAGAAATTCAAAGACGGAAGCGCAATGTGGCATCCTTAGAGGCCCTTGTATTTTTCGTAGGCTCCCGGATTGTTGTAGGCCCAAGGCACGGTGCCTGATCAACCTTACGAATAGAGCCTTGCGTTGCCTGTCTATTAATGTATATTATATAAAACATTTTTTACTCCCACAAAAACTCACATCAATCAATTTTATGCAAAATGTTACTGTTTATGTCTGTCAATAGAGGGCGTCCTGCTGCTTCTTTAGTTCAGAATCCAGATTGGCCACGGTACGCGACATCTTGTCTAATACAGAAGGCAGCTTGCGCCGCTTTACTCTTGTGAACTGAAAAAAAACATCAAATACTGATGTGACTTTTCCAAGAAACTAATTATTCTTTCAAACCAGCAGAATAAGCAAGTGCAAGCCGATGAAAAGATTTAATAAGCTGTTTTGAGTCAGGTTATTATAATGCAAGGTATGTGACAGATCAGTGGGTTTTGTATTTCGTATGCAGAGTTATGTCCTGGGTGTAATATCCGATTTACCAATAGTATGTATCATGTCTCCTTTCCATTTACGTAGTCCGAGGGGACCACTGTAAATGACAGTTGTTTTTCTCATTACCCCCATGCGTAATAGCAATTATAGTTCATATAAATGAAAGTATCAATAAACGTGTTCGTATAACCGTGTTCGAGCTCTGCTGTGTGTCCAAAGTGGTGAGTCGAGTGATAAAATTTGACGAGTCGGGGAACACACAGAAAATTCAATTGTCTCACCCTAAGCCGCTGACCGCACAGTCGGCAGTAGCGCACATTTCGAGTGCCCACCTCTGATTGGGGGGCAGGCGTTGTGTCCCGGATGTCGGGTTGAGGGGTCGAAAAGGCGCGTGCTCGATCTCCACACATTTGACTGGGTGTTAGCTTCAAATGGGAAGAACAAGAGCGAGATGTACAAATGAAAACTTGCTCCTTCCGAATTATTCATACGTCGTCATCAGGGTCACCTCCGAATTGAATTGAGGAAATATATCATTCGTAAAATATCACATTGCCAAACTAAACAACATTGATTATAGAGAATGAAAGTACCATCTAGGAACGACATTTTTTTTAATTGCTTGATAATAGCTTGTTCAAAATTACTTCAAAAGAATGTTACCTCGCGGCGTAGAAGAGTCACCGTTGTTCTGATGAGTCCAGCAAGCCTGTCGGCATCATCTGACAGTTCGGGCAACTGGTCCCCGGCGCACTGCAACCACGGTATGTACCCTTCGATTTCACACATCAAAGTCCACATTTTGTCCGTGCTCTGTTCACGAGAGGAACAACTATAGGGTGAAATTCCAAGACCGGGGGCATTCCGGGCTGCAAAGGCTTTTCTCTCAAGGAGGCACTGGAAATGAATTAACTGTGGTTCGTGCACTGGCCGTAAGAGCGCGTACATATATCAAAATAGCAACAGGGATGGTAATGTTGCAAACGCGGGGTAACAAAACTTGGTACAAAGAGTTATGATATAAACAGGGATGCATGAGAGCACAGAGGCGGTTTTATCTCACACTGCGAAATCTGTGGTGTTTTATTGGTGTTTGATTAACACCCTGGGCACACATGGTAGGCTGCCCCAGGGGAGGGCTTTTGTCACTTCATAAACGGAAAATCCACACGTAAAAAGGGCAAGGCACTCAGAAAGGAGGGAGAAGGAAATGTCTTATTACCAGGTTGAATGGCCTAAGCACTGAGTTCGAAAGAACTTGTCCACTGCCGTTACTTTCCAAACTAAAATTCTGTGAAAGATAAGAAAACAACTTTAATAAATATATAGTAATTTATACTGGAATGTTGGTCAAGATGAATTTCGAAAACATGAAAGATGCGATGTAACTAGCAGAAGACTCAATCGTGCATTCAAGGGCTGCGCAACGGAGATTCCTATGGTGACTCAGTAGCCTTCATAATGCACAGCGTATATGCGCCCTGTTCGAACGCCTCAGCCCGTGGGCTCACTAAGACAAAACTCTGTTAATTTGGTATGCTCTATCTTGGGTATAAATGATCCAGACATTAATTCTAGCCCCAGACATTGGGTTGACAAACTTTGGATGGTTGACATGATAACCCTCCTTTGGGGTAACATTTAACCCACTCCAGGTTCAGCCTGTGGGGTCTCTCTCTACCTTAATGTTTGCCCACCAGTGGCTTCAAAGTGCAGTCAGTACAAACCAGAAGACTAGATGACAAAGTGTTCAGAAACATCTCGGGCAGGTATCGAACCATATCGAATAACACCAATACTGCTATTTAATGAATGTAGGACCCTCTTTGAAAGTCCCTAGACAATGGGCTCTGAGCTGGACCAGCAGAGAGCACAGTTTTCCCAGCTGTGCATCGCTGGTTTACGAACGACTATGAAATACAAGCGTTGCAGCCGCATCGCTACCAATAAAATGAACGCTTCCGACCAACATGCTCTGTTAAACCCATGAGGGGTTGCTGCTCAGGGCAGATTGTGCACTTGAGGTAAAATCTCTGACATGAGACATTGGCGATATTTCTGCAAAAACCTTCCCCGTAATTTTGCACGGGCAGTGAAAAGTTGTAGAAATTAAGGCCCCTCTCCGAAATATGGTTTCAGCTTTGCCTTAAATTGCATTCATGAATACCTCAGACAGTCTCCCTTTTCAACAACGTGCAACTTGAGGCTTCAACTATCTTTTTTTACTAGCTGACTTTGAAGCTGTAAGCGTAGTAATTAGTCCAATAGTGCTACAAAATATCAAATAGGATGCAAGAGAGCCAAAAACTACAGTAATCTAATTCAATTTAAACTCTTCAGGCCCACAATCGGGGATTGGTTTGGGGAATGAAGCCTGAGACGCAGCCGAAGTTCGGTATTGGAAAACGGCCTTGACCGTGTATTAACTGCCGAGATGTGATAATGCCCGTTGCGTAAATCACGTGCTTGCACCTGGATACGAGACGGTTCAATCGATTTTGATTGGTCAAGAGTCTGTGTGCACGCGGCTCGTCATGCGCGCGCCAAATCCATGTAAGGAGATTCTATTGGACAACCTGCACAAGGAATAACGTATACCCTAAAATGGACGGGAATGCAATGTTCGGGAACATAAAAGTAAATTCTATACTAAAATCGCTGGAAATCCACCATATGTTGACTTCCTTTGACTCTCTGACTAAAAAGGGTACTTATCAATGGGAATAAATAAGTTCTCGGCCGATCTTAAATCAGCTTAGGAGACTGGACGCCGATAATGTCCTCGCCTGTGGCTCGGGCATAAGTCGCGCCCATTTCCAGAGCCTATCTTGAAGGCAAGTTACAAGACCGGCCGAGCTTATATTTATGCCCTTATTAAATCCAGTGTTTTGAAAGCTGCATCATCTCCGAGCGGAGACTGAGTTCTAAGATTTAGTTAATTAAAGTAAGGCAGATAAGATCAGAAATTACTCAATGCCATCCACAGTTTACCTTGAAGTTCTCCATGAAAGGATTTATCAGACCTTTCAGCTCCAACACATAGTCCGAGTAGATATCACCAAGGCCGTCGCTCCTTGCTGGGACGTCTTCACTGACTTGCAGGGAAACCGAAGTTGGCTGCCCGGTGGTGTGGGCCACGAACAGGGCACCGAGCAGGGCTAGGCGCAACAGACACCCAAGGCTGGACGACGTAGCCTTGCTGTAGCCACTACAATTACCCATCACGCTCGAAATCACTTTTATCTGGTTAAAAGTGGCACAAGTAAACAGACTAGTCTTTGAAACAATTCTTTTCTGAATAGCGAGAACAGCAACAAATACAGTGTTTTCCTCGTGGCTGCTCTCCTACAGTGACGTTTTACAATAACTTTCTTAGGAGTGTTACATGTCGACCAACAAGTGGCTTAAATAGCTATCAACAATGCCGAATCCCTAAAAATATCCGAAATTACTCATGCAATAATTATTACGAAACTTGCTTCACAAAAAATGCAGTCGATTTCCCAGAAAACATAAACACACATAATTCGTGCTGAAAATACCGTGCACGTATTTATTGCATTGCACTCCCTCGCCAAATGGAAATTTAGAAAAAGTCCCCTGGACTCTATTCCCAAAAGGACGGAGACCACCCAAACTTGCTATATATATCAAAAGCGTGTTTTACGTGGTCCTGTATCATCTTGCCTAAAACCCAAGACTGGCTTCTCTGATGTCCCTCAAAATTGATCACAAACAGACAACATTTAATTTTAAAACATAAGTCAGTCCAGTTCGTCTATCTGTATCTTACCAGGTAATTCCCCCAAAGCAGCGCAATACGGTCTTTCAGCCGAAGCACACATACGTCGTGAATGTCCGTACGTATGTTGCCGTTGGCCACGTCGTGCTTCCTGACGTAATCTGTGGAAGCCAACCCTACTCTCGTCCACGGTAACTGCGCAGGGGCGACCTGCGCCGTCGGCACGATCGCCACAAACAGCTTGGCTAAGAGCGCCAAAGCCAAATGCACACAACTAAGGTTTCCCCTGCAATCATCCACCATGTTCGAAATCAAAAGCTGTCGAGTCCAAAGTTGCAAAAGTTAATGTAGAACGTCTGTCTACAGTATAGATTCTATTATTTGTTACTAACAAGAACGAAAACTTCTGGTGCGGTTTTTGAATGAGTATGTTTGCTTTTTGGTGTTGAGTCCGATTTATATTGCAGGCGATCTGTCCTCACTTTTACATTTATAAGAAAATAGTCGATTTCCATGATGTTTTGTGACAAAAAATTCAACCCAGATTGGTAAAACAGTATGGCAGTGTTTTCAAGATGTGCTAAAAACCTGGAAATGATCATTTTTCGATGTACCATTTTTCTGGCCAAACATTTTACGAGAAAAGCAACAAATTGTACCTAATTTCGGAGCATTTCTAATTTACTTTCTTTGTATAAAAGTGAAAATAGCCATTCAATAAAAGTCCAGTCCATTGTTTTTGTTTATTTCTTGTTTTTCGTTTCCACTAAATGTGACAAATAGGACCACGTCATCACTGCTAATTACACAATAGCACAAAATTTGTCGTGAAATATTTCAAACTGGACATTGTTGCGAAGTGTACGTGGGGATTTTTTTTTTCACTTTTGCATGAAACACTGACGATCTTTTTGGGGGGCATCTGATTTACATGGGAAGTGGAAAACCACAGACTATCAAAATACCACTGACTTCGGAAATACCTTAAAATTGCCTAATATGCATCAAAACTCAACTACCAAAGAAATCAGATCTCACGGAACTTTAGCACAGAAAAAACTCTGACTTCATTTCTCCCTTTTTTATGTACTGTATGTATATTGATACATTTCAATCCCTACAAACTATTTTTGTCACAGGAATTGTCAATATCAACCCCTTTTGGAGGATGCGCTCATTCCTCAATATTTGAAACATCAAATATAATGTGATATTTATGGGTCTGCAACCATAAATATCACATTGACAGTAATGTCTCTTTAGTATAAGAACAGACTTATATAATGACGCGAAATAATAAAGTCAAATTCCAAAAACATATGACATCTATTTTCTCACATGAAAATGTTGGTTTACTACCCAAACCCAAACACATCTGTAACTTATATCTTCTCGAGTCCTATCCGACTTTCCCTCTCATACTTTTATCTATATACGGGGTTAAAAATCCTCGAAGCGCGCTCTTAGTTGATTTCTTTGATTGTTCACGTTACGAAATTCAAGCCAGATTGGCGCAACATAGACAATAAGTATCTTTTTAATGTAATAAAAATCATCTTTTTTTAGGTATATCGTTAGCGTGTTCAAAGTCTCAAAAACCTGCGATAAGTGTCGATCAAGCGTTTTTCTGGCCATCTCATCACATCCGACAAAAACAAAAATGGTGCGAAATTTCGAGGGAAGTTTACCAAATTTCGTAGCGTACATTTCTATACTTTCTTAGTAAGCGAAAACAAAAAAGTTGTACAAAAAGTCCGATCTAAGCACGTGTTTCTTTCTTTGCAAGAAGTGACATTCACTTGGCTATTTATAAACTGCATGGTCAAAAGTCTAAACTGTCAAACGCATTTCCCTCGGAAGTGGAAAACCACCGGCTCATACAAAAAAGCTGACAGTTGCGCAAATACGCCGGATATCCCTTAATTAAAATTACCAAATGCAAATAAAAAAAATCCACGATGAAAAAAATTATATTCCAAGAGCTTTGTTCAAACATCTATTTTTCCAATTGTCGTCAGGAAAAACCCATAAGTGTATGTACAAACTAGAGCCTTTTTCGGCGATTTTTTCAAAGATACATACTAATTTCTATAAATATCAATTGTTTTGAGGGGGTACGCTTCATTCGAAGTTGGAAACATCAAAATCAGCCTATACTTCTTATAGGAATATACGATTGGGTCATTCCTTGAGGTTGGGGCACAATTTATGACGGCGTCCTTGTTACATGGGTAACTTTTACCACTTGTCATGACCTGTCATAATCTGTAAAATAACACACACCTCTGTTTTCAGCCTTGTAAGATTCATAACAATGTCAATTTGGAATCCACATGAAGGGAAATAGCTGTTCATTTTTACGGTACCCATGTAACAATATTATGGACACCGCCACAAATTGCTCCAACCTCATGGAATGGCCCGATTGAAAAAGATTCAGTCAAAATTCCATAAAAGATGTAGAATTTTCTCCCACTAATTAAAATGGTTAACTGTACCAAAAGCACGAACGCAACATCTGTCACTTTTGCCTTTTATTTAAAGTTCCATCGTTCTCTATGATACGAGTCTGCAAATAGTGTATCCATTTTAAACAACGGTGACATTTTGCCGCAATGTAGAGCAAACTGCACGGCGGACAGTGGAAGTCAGCTTGCCTATACAAAATATTGGAAATCACCAACCGTCTGCAGAGACCAAACTGAGGATTAACCTGAGTTTTCCCTAATCTTTCCGCTCTCCCACATTAATCGTGTGCGATCCTCACTAATATATCCAGCGAGAAATGAGAGCGAGGGGTACCCCCCCTCCCACATGTCCAATGCCTATACACTCCAGACGATTGTTACCTAACACCCCCCCCCTAAATGTCTGAATTCCTCAGATTCCAGTGAAACAGTGACCAACAAAAAGCAGGGGGGTCTCATAACTTGCGTCATAATTTTTATGCTCACTTATATTGGTTGAGATGCTCAGTGGCCTGTTACAAGGCCATCGTGGCGTATTCAGATTTGAAACATAAAGGAAGTAAATTAGGGATTTTTTTCTGAAATTTATTTGTCCATACTGGTCGTTAGTATAGAAATCCTCAACTCCCCCTGTGCTATAAAGTACCACTTGTAATATATTCTACTTCTTTGAAAAGTATGAAGCTTTTTGCCCCCGTGGGGAGGGGAATTTCCCCGCCCCCGCTGATAAAAAGAGAATGCGCGCGCAAGTGTACTAATGAACTTCTATCAGGGAATGCCTGGCTCCCGCTGCCACAATTGTTCGAAGGTAGGACCCATGAACAAAATCCTAACAGTGGACGACGGGAAGGAGCCAGTTTCGATGCAATATTTGCATGAAACTGAACCTAAGTATGTTCTACCTTGTAACTTATGATAGGTGTCCTTTTTTCTTCAAATGGAGCGGCGACGGACTTTAGCTCTACTTTCACGGGGTGGTCATCTCTGGATATAGAAGAGCATCTGTAACTGTCATTCTCCATCGTAGTAAGGCTTCAGGGCGCCCTCTGTGTGCTAATTTGCGTACACCCTCGTCATTTCCATCGATTTTTGGGACAGATCTGCAACATTACTAGAGGAACTCTTCGACAAGTACCACCCTAAACAATAAAGAACGCAAAGATCAATTCCGTCAAAGTTATGTCGGAGAAGCCCTCCACCTGACAAAACTGATAGAGACTAGACAGGTGTTATGCTATGCTATGCTATGCTATGCTATGCTATGCTATGCTATGCTATGCTATGCTATGCTATGCTATGCTATGCTATGCTATGCTATGCTATGCTATGCTATGCTATGCTATGCTATGCTATGCTTGTAAACTTTGTTTCTTTCAAATTGGGCTGGTCGAGGGGGTCGTTGACAGTTGTTACTGATCCTCATTCCAATTACCTTGCTATGTAAATGATATTATTCGTACGCTGTTGTTTATAATCGACAAAGAAACATATATCTTGAGTTGTCCTGGAACAGTGAAGGGACTTGAAATTGCGTTTCTTTTGTGTGATCACCTTTAGAAGCTATTTGGACTTTTTTCAGTCTTGTTTTTGAGAGAGTTTTAGGTAGGCCCCTTGTGGCTCTAAATTTTCTTGTGTTTAATAGCTTTATAAATTTGAGAACCCCTTTAAAAAGGTAATATTAATTGCAAGTGTAATCCTCGTTTAATCAAGCTTTCTTTTTTGCGCCCCCTTCTTTTCCTTTCGGGTGGTTGAGATTGGATTGGGTTGGGTTGGGTTGGGTTGGGTTGGACTGGTCTGGGTTGGGTTGGACTGGCTTGGGTCGGGCTGGCTTGGGTTCGGCTGGGCTGGGTTGGGTTAGTCTGGGTCGGGTTGGCTTGGCTTGGTTTGGGTTGGGCTGAGTTGGACTGGGGTGGACTGGGCTGGGCTGGGTTGGATTGGGTTAGGCTGGGTTGGGTCGTGGGGGTTGGGTTGGGCTAGGCTTGGGCTGGGCTGGGTTGGACTGGGCTGAATTGGGTTGGTTGAGTTGTTTTCTGTCTCGACAGCAGCCGAATTAACTGCATCGCCAGTTCCCTGCATATAACTTGACCAATTTGTACATCGTCGTGATACGGGGAGGGACATGCATAGTTGGTGAGCAAAGTAGCCTCAATGGACTTACCAGACTGCTGGACACTCTGTAGAGTTACCTCATCCCCTTGCAACTGTTCATACCAGAAACGGGGGTCCAATGGAACGCCATCTCTCAACATGCTCTCCGGAAAATCCTGCCATGGAAAAAGTAAGGCAACCTGGTCTGTGACTACGACACAATTTAAGCCAGACTTTTGGCAAGACATAAACTCTGAAATATTTCCCAAAGTGGAGGAAAATATTACCAGAAAAACATTACCAGAAAGGCAGTCACAGGCGGTTTCACGCCACCATATGAGAACTTCAACCTTGCCCTCTCGATGCACATTAAAAACTCAGTCAAGATGTCGAGCCAATGCACGTTTGGAAAGGGTCGACAAATTTTGCGTGTTGTGATTGGCCAACGCGTTGCAAACTCTTGGTGGCGCACTACTGTGAATCGCTCGTATTCGTCTGCTAGACCTTTCATTAATACAATTTAGCAGGCATATTACCATAACAAAGTGAAGACTAGAGGCTTACCGTCACACCTAACTTTGGGTCAGACTTGGTGGCTTCAGCCGCCAGGGTGGTCGACGGAGCAACCGGCTTCTCGGGCTCCTGAAGCGAGTATACGATTACAGTGCCGTTACCTGGTTCACCTGAACCCGCGTAGACATACCTGTAGAACGCACCTACACGGGAGAGACATGGGAATGAAACTGTGAACCTGTCCGAGGATGAAGTTTCAGAGAGATCCTTGAAGGGTAATCATTTTGACTTTATGCAGTAACAGGTTTTACCATTTTTAACATAGGCTTGACTCCAGTCGGAATTACTCTGCCCTGTTCGGACTGTTGGCGTGATAACATAATTATGGGGTGATAAGGAAGAAATAAAGTGTACGTGCTTTGCTGGAAAGACGCCGATAATATCCCGAACTGGATTTACCAATTAAATTAAAACTTGGGCCATCGTGTTCTGAGAAGATGCAGACGTGAAGTATCGCAAATCGGAGTGCACGTTCGCCGTGACTGAAGGCTGTGTTTGAGCGCGCATGTCTACGCGCGGACTCTGCATAATAATGCATTAATTTCACTGGATCTGTTCGACCCAAGTCACGGGTTGCCCGGATTGGATAACACGAATGACCTCACTCACTTTGGCTCTTGTTGTAGGTAGCAACAAATTCTACCACGCTGTCAACGATGCTCAGATAAAGTTGTTCGTTGTCTTCGTTTATGAATAAGTCACACTGAAGTACCGGAGGCCCGAGCCAGTCGAATCCGGAGACAGCAGATTGTTTGATGTCAATCCAAGGCATGACGTTCTCCTCTGTCTTTGTTAACTGAATAACATTCACTGCTGGGTGATTTCCTTTCATGACAAACGACAAATTGTGAAAGCGTGATAATGATACGGTCAGTTACTTGCAAACTTTGCCCATAAATGGAGTCGTAGTGATGTAAGAAGTAACTATTATGCACGGAACTTGAGCAGCTCCGTGCTGGTGTTAGAATAATGCCAGAACGGAAAATAATCCAAATATCAATGAAAAGGTTTCCTTTCTGTTCTTAACAAGAGTTAGCAGCGGCACTTTACAATCTTTGGTAGCTACTTTGGGCAGTGGTGTATCCTGGGGGAGGGGTGGGGGAAACGTGCCCCCTCTGGCGGANTTTTTTTTTTCAAGAATATTTCATAGGTGAGGAGGACAGAATGCAATCAGTTTTGATTCAGAAAACAACACTATAAAAGCAAGGATGTCGGCACCGTGAGCAAGGCTTTTTTTCTCTCCAACATCATGTGGAATGAGCCGAAGCCGTATTCACTTTTGAACTTGCCCCCCCACACACGCACACTAGTGTGTATTTGCCTGCAACTGGGGACCCCCTATTGTTCCTCTTTTGTTCATACTTCAACTTTTTTAGAAGACCACCCATATGTTTTGTACACAGTTGTCAATCGGGGACCCGCTGTCAATCGGGGACCTTATTGTCCTCTTTTGTTCAGGGTCCCCAATTGCATGCAGAAACAAACTCACACGCACCCCTACACACACCAGAAGCTGGATACCCCGTTGTAGGCTTTTGGTAGACGTGGTTTGGGATTTGGAAAACGAAGTCAAGAAAGAAGCGTTCGCAAACACGATACTTTGAAGTGTGACTGTATTATTTTGTTGTTTCAACCAAGTTCCCTTCCTTAGTAACTTCCCATCAAGTTTTCTCAAGACTGTGCTCCTGAAATCGGCGCTTTACAATACGTTACCTTTTTATGTGAGACATGTTTGAGGTCTCTTTGCAACTGCAGTGCACATAGCCATTATTCGATCTTTTTGATTCAGGGAGGGGTAAATATTTTAAGGGGCTTCAACACCCCCCCCCCCAAAAAAAATCGAATGTCGGGGGGGAGAAGCTCGACACATTTTTTTTAATTTTTTTGAATTGGGTTCTCTTCAGGGGCGCTCGTGAATAAAGGGGACCTCTGTGTAGGAAAAGGGGTACTTGTAACAAAGGAGGGGGAGTACACCCTTACCCCGTGGATTACTAAACTGATCTTATCAAATGTGAGGGCGCTGTCTTAAAATGAATGTTCAGTGCATTATGTCTTTTGGGGCCCAGGTTTTGGTTCAGTCTTTAAGGCTTGAAATTTTTATTTCGGTATCGGATTTCAAGCAGAGAGAAACTCTTTGAGCTTAGTTCTACTAAGTGGAGCGTTCGTATTCCTCTTTTTCGAAGTCATAGTCATACTATCAGAGTCTTGAAGCCAGATTGTATCTACGTCAATGTCTGGGGTGGACTTCCTTTCAAAGAGGGCCTGGAAAGCTATGCTGCTGTTTACCTTGAATGACCACTTCGAAGAAACTCCACACAAACACGACCTTTCCATCATCCGATGTGCGCTTTACGGCCTGTCAAAATCGGTTAGAAAGAGTTAGTTCCCAGGCAACAGGCATCACTGAAAGGTGTTTCGGAACAGTATCAAAATGTTTATGTACCTGATTTTTTTATCACATCCTGGTCTTTTTCACTAACGTTCGCGCATTATAGTTGATTACCAAACAAGGATGATCAACAACCAGAGCAAACCAAAGTGACTAAGGATGATCAACAACCAGAGCAAACCAAAGTGACTAACTGTGAGCGAACGCGTGCCGGTTGGTGCTGAGGATGATGACTTGTATGTTCGGAACGAGCTTTAATACACGGCTATGGCTACGTCTCTTGCATTGTCAGCATGCCTGCAGTCACTGTATTTGCTATTTCGTCAGCAACGGAGGTTCCTTTTGGTACTAACTGGGCATCGCTGGTTCACGAACGACTAGGAAACACACGCGTTGTAGTTGCATAGCTACCAAGAAACTGAATACTCCAGCGCGGCTCTTTTCAACCGATGAGGGGGTGCTTCATGGTTGGAACGAGGAAGCGCCAAGTTCCACCACAATACTCACCAAGAGAAGCTTGGGCTTCACTTTTGTACGGAGGATATCTAAGATATATTGGGCACTGCACGCCTCGATGTTCGCACCGTTGATGTCCACCAGCACATCGCCATTCCTGGCAAATAGCAACAACACAGAGATCTGCTATCAGGGTCTTCAAACTTAAAGTGCATGAAATACTAATCATTATAGTTCAGGCATGTTCGCAAAGTCTTTTTTTTAAATTCTTTAGTTTCACATACTCGATTCCAGCCGCCTGAGCTAGACCATTTTCCACTATGTCATTCAGGGCGAACTCTCCGTCGATGACCTGAAGTTTTATTCCAAAGTCCACTACATTACCTGGGCTCTCTGGGTTTGGGAGGTACACTTCATCTGGACTTTCCTAAACATATATAGAAAATAATCATTAAGAAAGTAAAAGGACAGGACAGGAAAACTACTTCCAAACCAATGACCTATAACAGCATCTTGCCTCTAAACTCTAGAATATTAATCATGTTCTCATTCTTTTTTTTTTTTAATTTTTTTTTTTTTTGAAATGGGAACATGTGTACCCCTGCCATGGGTACGCCCGAGGGCGCACCGGAACACACCGGAACCACCCAGTGTTCCAACTACGACAAGAACGCTTCGACTCCCTTGGGGAGGAGGGAGTGTGTGGGGCAGTCTTACCGGTGTCATTTCTGCGTTTAGCCCACTGCCCTCCTCTTCCTTGGCGGCAGCGTCTTGGGCCGTTGACTCGCCCACTTGACCTTGAGTGCCTGCGTCTAGGAAGTCCATGGACAAAACCACCAAAAGAAATGTTTCGTTTGGTTTTATGAACGTATTCTCATGGGACTAGCACGCACCTGGATAATACGAATCAGTAGTACAGAAAACTTGAATCGAACTTTTGAAGATGATGGGATGACCTTCTTCCTTTATAATTATACCAAAAGTCTAAATTGAGTTCGGTCAGCTGGTGCGCAGTGATGCTCCCGGAGACGCCACCTGCTCCGCTTGTTCACGAGATCAACCCGTGACTTTAAAGTTGTCGGCTCAAAAAGTTAGACAGTGCAGCGAAGCGTACAACTGCTTGCAAAAAAAAGAGCAAAATAATGAAGTATTTCTATTTAATATGAACACTTTGGGCATACATTCGGAGGATCGATTGAAGAGACGAAGCGATTTTAGAGACGAAGCATACTGACATGAAGCCGATTGTTGGAAAACCGCCCACACTGCATAAAACTCTAACATCTCCGCAATTAGACGGCTTGCTTTAGTGAAAGACAGCCGGAAGCTCAAGAACAATCTGTCTTGGCTCCAAAGTATTTGATTTAGTGAGATTTTTTCAGTTCCATTTTTTTAAAATCTGTAATATTCCACCGTTTCCGAAATGGAAGCAACCCCTGTGATATGTAATTAGACGGCAAGTCACTTCCGGGATATCCATATTTTCAGTTTGACCTCAACTCCATTGCACGCTATTGCGGCAAACTGTTGACAAAGAATTAAAGGCGCAATATCTCCTCAGTACTTGGAGGGGTATGCTGGATGATGACAGCGAACATACCTACCTGTGTGTTTTCTGAAGCAGCATCCCATGATAGCAGTGATGGCTGCACGTTGATGCAAGCAAAGTATGGTCAAGCTGTGCGACTCTAACTCCAGTAATCAGTGGGTAGGCCTATATGCTGTATTCCTGCTGGCAAGGTAGATTTGACATTGCTAAAACGTAATACTTTTTTTTCTCATATATTTATACATTTTTCATAAGGAGCAAACAAATATGAAACGATAATCGAAAGCTTTCTATTGTGTAGGGGCGCCTGAGTGTCTGCATTTCCTGTGCAAAGGAAGAGAGAATGAACAACACAGCAAAGAAATCCTAAATGTGCTGGAATGCACGTCTATTCTTCTCGAGGGCCCATTTTGCCGAGGAGTTAGCAGGTCGTTTCCCTACAGCAGTTTCGGCGCAGAATGGTTAAGCCAGCGCTCTGAAACGTCTCAACCTGCACTGTTCACCCCTCGTTCACTGGCATCTCCTTTCATCCACGAACAAAAATTCCAAGTAGGGGGGCCTACGGGCAGAAATAGCGTAATAACAAGCTGACCCAGGAATGATAGAAACCAGGCCGATCGAGTTGGGCTATAACCTGTCAAGAGCCGCCGGCTAAAATCTTCTCAGCAAAAAACAAGCCAACAAAGATTGGCCGGCGACGGTGCCAAATGCTTGGAAGAGAGGTTCAGTTAGGGTAGCGGCAACAACTGTTTTAGGCACTTTAGTGATAATTTTTCACTTTTTGCCCGAGGTTATTTTTATTCTGTGCCGGCCAAATTCGCGACTCACGACATGCGGATTCGTTCAGAGTATAGCCCGCGATTGCTCCATCTTGTGACACATTTTGAAATAATCTTTCACAGCCTTGAATCAGAAAGAAATGGCGATCGGCCGGTGCCAGAGTTACCTATAAATCCCGTCATTAAAATTGACTAATCGCGCAGAGAGAGTGATCTCGCATTTCGGCCCATTGCGCCTGGACTCAATGCTGAAGGTGTACACGGCGCTTTCATAGCTCGGTCTTTGGCCCGGGCGACGTTCCAGAAGTTAGTGCTAAAGTAAAACGCTAGTTTCGAACAAGAATTCACCGACTGAAATCACACTTTTCAACGGCAAACTAATCACACTCACATACCTGCCTGAGATGTTTGCTGCGTACTGCTGGGTAATCTGTGCGGTAGGCCTATGGGATCAAGAACAGCCGACCCATCGCTTTTGAAGAGGATTTTCTAAGGTACAGTACCTCGCTCACACACGTGACCATCCATTGAACTTGAAGTTTGTCATGCGTGATAAAGGTTAAGTTCATTTCCCGTTCAAGGTTGCAGGGTTTACGGGAAAGATTACAATAGCCTGTAAAGGAGGCATAATAAAACAGCATTCCGCCCAAATCTACCTTTTCCAAGAGTTCGTCGGTATAGTCTTGGAAACGGGCTGTTTTCGAGGGGCAAAAATAACGAAACTACAGTGAAAATCCGGGTTGGTGCTGGATAGGGAAAAATATTAAAAAGTCCCTTTTCATATATTTTTTATATTTCGGGGTTCGCCATGCGACTACTAAAAATGCTTCGTACTCTCTTTCCAAGATTCTCTTCATTTCATGGGATTTAACGATACATTTTATTTCATATATACAGAATGAAGTTCACGAAAATTGTTCATACCATTAGGTCTAGCGCCCAAACAAAACGTTCATCGGATAAAACGACACATATAAAAGTGAAAATTCGTGTAACGTTTGATCATCACACCCACATCACATTCCGTACTTCACTTCTAAAACCTGCTCTAATCTTATGTCATAATGGTTGTCCGTGAATATTTCGGGTTTTTATCAAAATAGTGTACCAACTTTTAACCGGGCAAATTACCTTTTTTACAGTTTAACCCATAAAGAGCTTCGATTGATTCGCTTTTTAAAGTAAGCTACCCTCAACAAGAAAATGCAATAAATTAAAACAAAAACAATAACATATATGAGAAAGAAAATAAATAAACAAACCTTGGAAACGCAACTGCTTTTCAACCTCTAGCCCAAATAAACTTTGTTGATGGTTTCCTTTATACAGCTCAATATGACTCCTCCGAACATTTTAATCAGTTTTTCAGATTTGTGATACTTTTTTAAAATGAGCTATTCAGGCTCAGAATTAAAATTTACACATTCTCACAAATAATATTCAGGCTCTGTTACATTTCTGTTTTTCTTCCTCTGAATTCGGACTTTTAGAATAATTCGTGATTAAATTTGGTGACAAAAAGAGGAAAATTACAGGCAGTTAGATGGCTGATACCATCCCACCCCCTTCTCTGTGGCAAAGTGATGTGGCCAAAGATGAGGCTCTCCAAACCTCCATCAGATAAAGCACTCATCTCAACCTTAACGGACGGTGTTTACAATCCACTTAAATGTGTAGACGAATCTGAAGTTATTTCATCTAAAGCCTACCTCACGTGAATGAGCATTTCCCCAAACCTTAATTTGCCTGTGCCCGGTAATACTAAATCATTTTTGGACGTATTCGTTTGACAGCACGCCCCTGAAATGTTGAAACTCAGTAATATAATATTCCTCATGCCAATTTCGCTAGGCATCTAGAATCACCCAAATTGAAAGTCCTATCCAAATGACATGGAATGGAAAACCGAGTTATATTTCTCCGTGTGTCACCCTGTCTTGAAGCCTCTGTGCCACGGAACCATCAAACTCAAATGCCTGAAATACAAGAAGGCCACGCACAAACATGTCAAATTGTAGATGCTCGTTAAATTAAATCATGAGAATTTAGGATAGCTCAGCAGACATATTGAGATTAAAATGAAAATAATGATCTATGCTATAAGGGGGGGTGCTGAAAGGCATTCGTTTAAAGCCAAAAGATGGAATTTTTTCCAAAGGAAACAGTACACAATAATCTTTCTTTGAACCACATTTAAAGCCAACCACAAAAAGGCAATCCATTTCATTTCCATGTTTTAGGAGCCCTTTTCAACCAATCTCAGCAAACAAGTGGTCAACAAACGGTCATCACTTGGTCTTGCCCTGAGCTGAAAACTGCTAAGCAAATTTGTGTGCAAAGCAAAAAGCGGGTAGGAACCAGTCACAAGCAATACATACATGTAATGCTGCATGGCATGTTGCCCGGTACCCTGTTCTTTCTATGCTAAGCTGAGATATACTGTGGCTCAGCAATTGTCCATGCAAAGCACGGCCACGGCAGGCGCACTCACCCTGGAATAGTATTTCTGTGCAAGGTCCTTGTCCTTCTTGACCCCGTGACCTAGGTGCAGACAGCGGGCATAATAGAAACAGCCGAGGGCGATCCCCTTGGCAACAAACGCTGGCAGACAGTCAGTCTCCTTGGACAGTTCCTCCACATCATCCAACTGGGAGACTCTGAAAAACGAAAATCACTGAACTGAGATTGACGCTTTGTGCAGAAAGACGGAATAAAAAAAAAATCTGCATACATTTTGTGGCTGATTGTATTTTATTATTCACTTTAAGTTTGGTGCTCTTTGAGAGCTCGTGGAAACAATTCCGTCGACGAATCTGCAACTTTTGTTTAATAAGTCTACAAACTGGTCTTAAACTAGGAATCCAACAACTCAAACTCAAGCCACTCTGCAATCTTATTGCAGTAAAGCGCCTTCCCCAAGGACACTAAAACTTACATCTGGGCCCAATTAACTGCTGAGGATGGATATCAGAGGACACTGCTTACAAATTTCAGAACCAGTGACGAGCAATGCGCATGCCAGGACATATGGATCGGGAACTCATTTTTAAAAGTGTTTTGTGGGAATTTGTTTGGGGGGAGGAAGGAGAGAAGTGAAGCAGGTGGATACCTCGCTGCGAGTTCCGCTGCTTTGGTGTAGAGCTTCTTCTCGTAGTAGTGGGCCACCAGGTTGCCCATGGCGTATACGTTGCCCCTCTCCGATGCCTCCTTCAGACACTCAAAGGCGGAGTCTGAGTTCTTCCGACATCCCTGTCCCGTCTCGTACATGACACCCAGGGCGCCTGCAGAAGAGACCGACAACTCATATCAAATAACTTGCAGGGCATGATTACAAGGCACCAATTTCCTTGCAGCAACAGAAAGCATCTAAAAAAGGATTTTAAAAAATTACTCCTAAAAACAAGTCAAACTAAAAGTCTTACCTTGAGATTCCAAACTGCCATTTCCGGTTGCCTCCGAGTGCCAAAAAAAAGCCTGAAAATTAGCACAAGCAATCATGGCGTCAGAATCAAAGGAGTCCAAAACTTACAAACTTGGGCCAAGTTTTCACAGCCCCTAATCTGCAGCAGTCATCTAGTCTGGTTAGACTGGGAATAACAGGCAGGCAGCATATGCCTATCTGTTGGGCCGTGCTCAGATACTGGGAGCAAGACTGTGCCAGTGTCCTGAGGGCATGACAGCCAGCCAGCCCTGTTGGTGAGAAGCGAGGAGTGGTTGCAGTATTGAAAGTCCACTGTTCCTGGTTCTCGACTGACTTGTTTCTCAGTGCATACATTTGTTAAACACTATTTTTGCAGCTCTGCACAAGAAAATGAGCCCTGTTAAGGGAAAAATTTCATTTTGAACAGGAAGAAACCGAAAGATCATGTCCGAGATTTTCTGACGTTTAAAAGCGTGTTGTAGGGTACCTTGGGTGACAAAAGTTTACCCCTTGTTTCATTTCCCATTGTTCCCTAATGTCTGGAAAATTCACAAAAACTACATAATTGACCAAAAGGGCGCCACACCCTGTCCACCGGTCACTTGAAGGAAAGTCTCTGTCAATACCTTCTTCAGATCCAAACTGCAGTCCCTGGAATAGTACATGCCTAGGACAGTCTGGGCCTTGACGCTGGCCCGAGGATTGCCGTCGTCCGCCGCCAGCAGCCACCACCTCTCGGCCTCACCGTCCGACTGCCTGACGCCGTAGCCCTCGAAGTGGGCCCGGCCCACGTTGTACTGGGCAAACGGGACAAGGTGCTTGGCCCGCTTGCTTCCAGAGCCAGCGACGGCCGTCATGTACTCAAATCCAGTCTTCTGCATGAGACATGCAGACGAGGCATGAATAAGGGCCTATTTTTTTCCCAACAAGATTTGGGCACTCAAAATGCACATGTAGGAAGAAGTAATTTGTCCAATTGACACATTCACAGGATGCAACATAACATTACAGGCTCTGTTCCACTTTATTTTTGTTATGAAATCATCAAATCAGCACAAGTTTGGGCAATGACAGGACTCAGACCCATAATAAGAAAGCACTAAGACAAAAGCATTTAGGCTTATCACTGCTATTCCAATAATAAGCAGAAGCACCCCATTATCAGTTAAAAAGAGCCGTGTGGGTCGGCAGTGTGGTCCATTTGTTGGTAGTGATGCGACCGTGACGGGTAAATTTCCTCGTCGTTCGTGAACCAGCAAAGTTCGTTGCTAAAAAAAGATAAGCGCCCACTCTTGGTCCAGCTCGAGGCCCATTGGTCCATCAATCAGGCAGGGTGACCTTACAGTTCCAGGGAAAAAAATCCAGCAGTCAAAGAAAAAAAACTTACGTGATCCTCTTTGACACCGAGGCTGTCATAGTACATGATACCCAACTGAAACATTGCCTGGTAGTCTTTACACTGGTCGACGCTTCGTTTAAAGTAAACTGCCGCCTCCTCATAAGCACCCTGTAGAGGAAACAAAAAAAGCAGTTGAGCAGGAGTGGGGATCTTCATGCACTTGTTACAAGTAGGTTTACTTATGCTTCAACCTCACGACATGTTAGCATTAAATCTAGGGCCGAGTCAATGTGAATAATTCCCTATTCGAATCTTCGGCCCTCAATTTATTCAAATATCCAAATATTTGCTTGTACCGACCGGCAGATTGATAAACAAACCATATACAAAACACAGCCAACTGTACATTACAATCACTGTGATAGCTTCTCATATCTAGGAGTATTTCAAGCCACAATTTAGCAACATTCAACAGACGAACAATACTTGTTGCTGTGTTGACAGTTTATTCCTTTCCAATTTTTTTTAATGAATAATTTACTGGTACGTTTTGAATTATTATAAGATACAGTACATTATTCTGTTGCTTTTCATTTAAATATGCTTTTAACACGCCTCCATAGTGCAACCTTTTCCATTTAAAACAAAAGAAAATTTTCCTTTCCTTTTCATGGATTTTGCATTCAAATATTCAAATTTGGAAAAAAATTCAAATATTCGATAATCGATCGAATATTTGGATATTCGGCACAGCCCTAATTAAATCTTCTTTCAGCCAACTTTAAAGGGGAGGTAAAGTTGACATCTGGATAGCTCTGGGCAAGTGGCAAAGGTCAAATGCCAGAATGCTTGCATAAATTTGCTTTATTTGCAGGCTGTGTAATATAAGCAGTTCTTGTCAGTTCAACATAAGCAGCGAGGAGGGGGGGTGGATGCACAGATGCACCCATCTACTAAGATACTGATGAGATCCAAATAGCCAAAACACTCTTTCTTTCATTCCTAACCGTACCTCTTCACCACGTACCCACCTGCTCGAAGTAGAACTGGCCGAGCTGGAAGAGGGCGATGGTGTTGCCCTCCTTGATCTGGGTCAGCAGCAGCCGCTCCACCCTGTCGTCCAAGTCCCGCTTCTCTTTCTCCTTAGCCACCTCGTCGTCCAGGATGTGCAGGCTCCGGGTCTGTAAGCTCCCGTCGTCGCTGCCCCGGCGGGGCAGGGGCTCAGCGGGAGGGAGGGTCTTCTGAAGCTGATGCTCCATGGGTGTGGACAGCTGACTGAGCCCAAGGGCTGGGCTGCAAGGGGCCAGTTGTGGAACGAGACAAAGGCCGCCCTTTCTGCGATTGGAATGAACAGGCTTGCCAGAGCCAAGTCTTGGTGCTGATGGAGGCGATCGATATTTACTGCAAATACATGTACGTGTACTATGTGACGTACTTGTTGGGCAAGGCTGATGAATCTGTGCAACTGCTTTCAGAATTGTGTCCTGGTAAACCTTGTTTCCAGTAAAAGAACAGAAAATGGCCTCTTAACTTTTTGACTCACTTAAAAAGTAGATGGTGATAACGCCATGTTGAATATCTGCAGGATCAGATCTTGTGGAAAGAGGGCAGGGTTTTGACTTTTGAAGAAAATGACTGGGTCTAAATGACGGCAACACAAAGTTATGCAGTGAAAACAACCATGGCAGGCCACAATTGCAGAATTCCCACCAACCAAGCTTGTTTGGTAGAAAGCGACTAGGCCTTCGCCTCCTTGGTTTCTGAAAAGTTCCATTAAGAAATCAATCTCTGATTGGTTATTCATGAGCGACCATCCTTCACTACCATTACTGCCATATCGCAGTACGGTACAGCAGTGTGTAGATTCTCATGGGCCATGGCCAATTCCTGGAAAACCAGGTGAGAAAGTCACTTTTTCTCCTAATTAACTGATTTATAATGAAAAAAAAACAGGTTTGGCAAAATTAAGGGAATATTCCTTGAGCCTGAGGTTGCTCATTTCAAAATGTCCCATTCATATGAAATTTTCTTTGCTTTGCAGAGTCAAATGGAATCCAAACGTATGGGCCTATGAGGCAGGGCCGACTCTCACAAAATGGCAGGTACCACGCCAATGAAAACAGCGACTATGGCAACGTACGCGCACCAACCAGTCCGAGGATTGAGTTACACATTTTTCTTTGATCTGTACGTACGCGCACGTTCTTTGCAGTTGTTTTCGACCGTAGGTTGCACGTATTTATTCACCAGAATCAAATAATTGCCTGCCAGAGATGAAGCACAGATCGTGCGGTTTTCGTTTCTTTTGTTTTTATACCGTTAGGCCTACCTGGTTCTGTTTTCGAGAGGTACCAGTTTGTCACACAAAAGAAATTGAAAACTGGAATTTCTCGAATGAAAGCTTTAAATAGCCTAGAAGAGAAGGCGAGGGCCCGGATTTGAGGACACTTTAGAAGAAACGTTCATTTTTGTTTTTTTAATCCAACCAAGGATGTAGAAAAACACCATCAACAAGAGTACCCCAGAATGAGTTGCTCAAGGAAGAAAAAAGGAGCACACATTGCCCCTTTTTCCTTCCCACAGTGCCCTTCTACCATTATGCAAAATCAGCCATGCAGTATTTGCGATGGCTTAGGCCCTAGCTGGGGCCTATGTTGGAACCACTTGACCAAGCCTAGGGCTAGGCCCAATAAATGTAGTCAGTTCTTCAACAGGTCTTTCTATTATAGTGACACTGACAGCCTTACCAAATACTGCATACAAAAGTACCAGATCAATTTAATCAAGCATGCATCAAAATATGATCAAAGGCTTCAGTCACGTAAGTTGCTGCAATGCTTGGTTTGCTCAATCGCTGGACAGCGCCATGACACTTTGGTTGCTGTAGCAACTACCGCGCCGGACAAGCTCTGACTCCTGAGGGCGCCATAGTACATGCACGTGCCGCGCTAGCTCGCGCCACCCGGCCACGCACTCATTGTGGTAGTTTTTATGCATCATATGCATAAGCCATTAAACGTGGTCGATCTGCTTAGTTTGAAGTTAGTGAGATTCAAAGAAGTTTGACTATCTTATCGGTACCTTAACACAACAAAGTTCTGTTCAGAGATCTTAACCAGGGGATGAGTTCACAAAGCACTGATGTGCAGGTAAGAGAGAAGAAGTAATTTGTTCGTTCATTCTAGAAAAAAATAAAGCAAGCATTCAACTCGGTCAATGGGAGTAACTACCATTTTAGGCCCTACCATGACTACAAAGGATCATGGCCCGGCCAGTGATGAATTACGAAATGGACTGTGGAATTGAAGCAATAGTGAGGAAGGAAGGGCCAAGGTGCATGTACTGTAACATGCGTGACCGTATAGTCGCCAGGTCCCTCATTTCGCCACCTAGCCTACAGTCAAGTTTGATTGGTTTTCACAGTAAGCATGGTATATTAATTAGTGGCAAAATATGCGTGATAAGGAAACTGGCGACGATACTCTAACATATGTTAGTGCGCCTGGGAGTAATGTGCATTGGAACGTGGAGCTAGGATTGTATCAAAAAGCTCAATAATTGGCATGTTGTTCTTCTGGGCATCCATTTGTATAATTGGGGTTCATTACCTTGAACAACCGGTTCCTATAACTTAGGGATTAAATTCTACTTTTTCGAAATAGCTTATCTAAACAAGTTGTTCGTAATGTCCTCATTCATATCAGAAAGAAAACAGGGGTTTTGGTTTTTGAGGGAAACATTCGGGCAAAATGGCAGCGTACATGACCGCCCCAAAGGTAGCTGTGAACGACAAATAAGGGAATGTAATCTGGTTCCTTGACCTACATGTAGATGGAGATATGTTTTGATGAATCCAAAAATCCTGAGTCGGGTAACCGTACAAAAAACAAAATGGCATGATTCAACTGAGTGGTTGTCTTTTGCTAAACTCGGGTTAGAAATTTGAAGTTTTCTTGCTTAAATTTGGTCAAAATTTACCTAAACTAGGCATATCAGGATTGAGTAATGGTTCCTTAAGGTCAAAATTTTAGTTAGTGTGAGAAAGTGGACTTTGTTTCCTTATTATAGGAACAGGGTGCTAATGGTAATGAACCCCGTATAATTTTAAGGAGTAATTACAGAATACCCCGCCACTCTAAAAAAGGACCCCTGAAATGACTGGTTACGTGGGTACAAGGTGAAAATCCATTGAGAAGAGTGTGGCACTTTGACCTGTACCTGGCTATGAGGTTGATCGTGCGGGGTGGCGGGGTATTCTGTAATGGAGCTAAATTTTGATTTGGCGTTGTATTATTTACAGGGAGATGTAACATAAGCAATAAGTGGACTTTCCTGCCCCCTTCTACACACTGTACCCTAGACCTCCCTCCTCAGTCACATTTTATCTTTCTCCATTTAGTCTAACGTTACGTCCTTAAAGTGATATATGCACAGTGCCTAATAAAATGAATGAAAACTGTGCCAGCCGTGAAGGTTAATGCCACAGGAACGTGAGCATTTTTTTAAATGAGTGGCACGAAAGAGGTGTCCTAAAAGTACCAATTAACAGGTAGAAACTGGAACCTTGGAAATAAAATGTGGCAAGTGCTAGTACTTGTCTAAACGTATTAACTTAACAGGGCACTGTACATCATGAACGTACGTACAAGGAGTCAAGTGACATACATGTAGGCCCCTGCATGTCGTACTCATATCAGCTAATGGATAGGTGAAGTTTGGCCAAATTAAATCTCTTGAGATACACCATTTGTACCTTAAACATGTGTATACAGTGTATTCGCACAGTTCAATTGCTTTTAGATAAGATGAAAAGTAAAACATGAATGCATATACATGTTGCACACTAGAGCAGTTTCCTCCAAATTTTGTGCACACAATTGTGCTACCGGGTGGGCGGGGCTGGGCTGGGGCCCTGACCTCAAATACGTGTAACTTAGATTGGAAGGCTAGGGTCAGTATCACCTGCATTTCAGTTTGTTAAAGTGATTGGCAGATGTTGACACTGTGCTCCTATCAGGGGTTTTGTTATCATGTCAAGGAAAGGTCTGCAAAACTAATGGATGGCCACAGAGCAGCTACAGGCAGTATATGAAATCTCTTATTTAGATGGACAAGTGTAGAGTCCATGGTCCACCATGTAGCAGTGCATGGTACGTGTATACACGTACATGTACATGTGGGTATCTATGCTGCCATGATTTTTTGTTGTTTATCCCCGAACAATTAGTTCAGAAGGTTGAGTGAAGGATTATTTATCAAATCACTTATCCTGTTCATTTTACTGGAAAAAAATGTTGCCCAAGTTAATTATTCTCTCGTGGCATTGGGGTCTTGAAATGTACAGTACATGTAGAGATTCTAGCATACTATTGGTATCACCTCGAGAAAATAAAAATCTACTATTCAAAATTTGAACTCAAACACGAAGTACTTGTATTGCCATTCAGTTCAGGGTCCAGGATTTTGGACAAAGAAGAAATAGTTCGGGTCAAGGTTTTTCCAACAATCGTCACTCAAACTTGCCGTCTTATTGGCAGGCAAAGTCTGCCTCCCCCCCTATTGTTCGTTCTGGCATGTACACGTAAACTGCCGAACACTGAACAAGGTACTTGTATGTATCCAGACCAGAAGAATGCACCGTACTGTGTCATTCCCTGTACCCATTCACCAGGTCGATAGGCTTTACCATCACTCCATAATGGGGCACTTGGAAGGGTATGTGTGGGTACCTTTCACCAAATTTTGTTGAAGAGAAAATACGTCACGGCTACCAACGGCCAAGCATTTATAGTTTACTTGCTGCCCAAATCCATGCATGCGCATTGAGTGCGCGTATCTCACACGCTCACAGAAGTGTTGACCCCAGATATTGTTCAAATGAGCTCTAGATCCATTTGAGTGCAAATTTGCCCTTCTCAGCACCCTGTAACTAAGGACACTAGAGATGAAATGACTAGGCAGCATGCTGCATGAAGTACATCCATGCACTGCCCTCTTTAGATCATGAACAAAGTTACAAACCCATTACTCTCCTCAGGAACCGTTCCAATCATCACTAATTTCTACCAAGTTTAGGCACCGTGAGAGGCATTCATTTTTAATGCCTTAAATAAAGATGCTCATTACATCTACCTATGTGTAAGACTCACCTTACTATAAAACATGTACATTCATTTTCGTGATACTGATTTCTTTTGTGTAAATGGGACAGAGCAGGTGGACGTATACTGCACTGTATGTACATTAAGAGGCAGGATTTGAAGGCAGGGAAAACACTCAACAAGCGTATGTAATGCCAAGCTTCAAAGAGGCAAAACTCCTTCGGGGTTCATTGATCTGACTGAATGAAAGTACTTAATGTGGCGTTCATTACACGCGGAGATCCAGTCTACGTAGTGTTTGAATGTGATTCACCACTAGATTGAATTATTCATTCAACACTTGAGGGGAGAAAAAAAATTGCCCGCTGGAAATGATCCTCCTAAAAAATTAAACAAAAACAGTCCCTCCGTATGAATGCTTCGTGCAGACAATACTCGATGTTCGATTGAGATTTTCTCATCTGCCTGGCCGGTATCGATTCCATCGGAAATGATTCCACATTTGTTACCAGTCGTTCCATTTCTTATGGGCTGATCGCACGCCAGGAAATGTACACATCTCAAGCAGCAGTGCGTAGGCAGGTCGATGGCTATCGACGGGTCACCCCTCAGCCTGTACCATCAGTGGTTCCCAGCCATCTGTTCATGGAAAGTTAATTAAAGCCGGTTAATCAATCATACGTGTACTTGTCCAATACCGATTGATTTCTTATACGGCTGCCCGTTTGTTTTAAGGGGGAGGGGAGACTGTCTCTGCTAGTTCTGATGCGGGCAGGTGAGACTTGATCAATTGTTTCCTCCTATTTGCGGGGCGGGACTTTGATGAACTATTTCCGACCGGCTTGACAGGAGAGGGAAAAATACACCGCGCATTTGACAAACGGAGGTGTGTACACAGAACGCCGTTGAAAAATTCTCACAATCTCGTTAGTGTCACTGGAATACTTCAAGCCGAGGACTGCCACGTGGTGGAAATGTTTCTTATCTGGAGTTGTTTTCAACATTTACACCTAAAGACACTAGTGGATGATGACATCCGCTATGTGTTTCTCTGGCCAGTGGAACCTCCATGCAAAAACGTAATTTTCGTAGACCCTGTTTAATTCCATTTGGAGGGTTTTAGAGGATTTTTGTAATGTGTTTGGGAAAATTGAGCCCAGCCACTTTATACGACTTGCTCTTCCCACGTTTAGTCTACTGTAAGTTGGAGATTTATGCTCATGTATGTGTAGTGTACAATGTACATGTATGTGCCATGGGTTTCTGTGTGAGTGTATTCTGTAATGTACTGGTAACTGATGTGGTAGGATCCGGACACATTTCCTTTTCACTCCACTCACACCGTAATTTTATTACAGTTCCAACAAAAATCCCTTAAAGTCTTGAAATTCCAAATCTTGTGACTTGACATGATCTACAGTACATGTACAGGCTGGATACCAACTACATGTACAGTACATAGGTGCATCACGTGTGTAAGTATGTTCAGTGCATATACAAAGTACACATGAACCAGTAAACCTCGTCATTGCCTGTCTGTCTGTTGTCCTCGGCCGTGTGACTATGGCCTGCCCAAGAACCTTTCCAGAACTTGCTGATTAATAAACCTCAAACCGTATCTATCCTGGTTAAATAGAAATATCCTTGTCTGCATGTGGTTTAGCTGTTCACATGCATTTAGGGCTGGTACTGTGGTCTTGTGTAAGGTTACAGGTTTGCCCTTTGACTTTGAAGTGGAATAGCATGTGTAATAATACCAGGTACCCCGGGTAGTTCCTGACGGCTTTTGTGGTGACGGTATGGTTAACCATGAAAGTAGAAAATGAAGTGAAGAGTTGTAATCAGGAGCTGGGCAGTGTACTTCTTAAGGGTACAGTCCGCCAATTCAAGCCCCATTGAAAAAAGTGTCAAATCAGCACTGTTCAGGACCCAAGAACATGCATATCAACATCCCTGAGATTTCTGAAACACAAATGAAATTCTTGTCTGGTCACTAATCTTCCAATTTCTTTTCAATTTTTGTGGGTTAACCAATTACATTTTTTAACTATTCTCGCAAAACAAAATCACCCCCCCCCAAAAGTGATTTTACCGAAGTCTGATTGCAGNCCTGGCAAGGATTTACACAATCTCACCATTTTTGGGGCCAAGCAATCTCCTCTTTCAAAACATACTGTGGGGGCACTTTTAATGCTAATGAGCTGGCCAGAAATTCTCACTTGAATTAGCAGTCTGCACCCTTATGCAGTATCCTCTTCCGTGGGGATTATTATGCCAAACAAATCTTTGGGGGGATTTTACCATGCTGGTACATTTACATGTACCTACATGAATTGATTCATTTCATTATCCAAAAATAAAAATTTGGATGTCACTCGAGAAATTAGGCAACACTCATGCAACCCGTGTAGGAACTTTAAAATTCCATACGACACAGCCCACTGTCTGTCTGCATCTGTGACCTGGAAACCGCTGCTTTTGAAAACCAAAATGGAAAACGTATGCCAAATCCATTTGAATTCCAGTCGTCGGCTATGGATCAGCATGTCTTTGCCCCCCCCTCTCTCCAAGTTTCCCAAAATGAAGACTACAGTCCCACCCTCATAAAACCTTGCAATGGCACAAACGGTACATACTGATGCGTGTACGTACTTGTACAGTGTACTTGACGGTGGGATATGCTGATCAAATTTAACTTGGGATTATCGCGGCAGACGCAGAACAGTAATTGGATTACGGCCCCGCCGGAGATTTTCAAAGATGTAACTTACGCCTGGGAAAAAAAACAACAAAAAAAAAGCACTACCTAAAGCGGATATAGAATAATCCGTTAGCGGAGTCAGAGCGATCGATCAAATGTACGCTGTCACAGAGAGGGTTTATTCCCTTTTTTTTCGCCCGCCCGGTATGTTTGCAAAATGAAAAGCACACATACATGAGACTGAAATTGAAATGGGCCAACTTATGCTAATGGCGGGTTAAAATTGCCTGTAAGCACCGGATGTGTTCGTCCAGACGTACGTTTTGTACTTACAATCGCTCTGGTCATTTTGCAGGGGACTGATGTAGAGGTATAACCTTGACCATTTATCGTTTTTGAAAGGACAGAATATTTCAGGCTGTTTGAAATAGTCGTATTGCTCAGTTTGTCTTCAACATTGCCATTGTGGTTGGCCCTCAAGGAAAGCGATACAGTTCTTAAGATGTGCAGTGGACGCCTGCAATATTCAGCCTTGCCTGAAATCCGTTATCTGCAAAGGGTGAAAGGCTTTTGTCCTCCCACAAAAGTTCTTTCTTGTGCTTGATTTCACAAAACCTTTCCAGTGTGATGGAAAGTAATGCAAAAAAATTAATTCAAGGAAACAATTTAGAGGCACGGTTTCAGGTAGAATAAATAAAGAAGTTTTATTAAAAAAAAAAATGCCTCTCAGCCCCTCAGAAACTCATGCAAAGAAATTTGTGATAGATTTGTCTGCATGACATGTACACTGTATTACTGAATTTCAGCCTTCACTGATACAAGTTAACGTGTACATGTAGCCAATCATTTACCGCATTACAAAACAGAGTACTCCAGGGAAACTGCCAACATTTTGTCGGGGCTTTTGACAGTTATTTTTCTTGGGGGCGGGGATGGCGATGATTTAATTTTTAAAAATAATTATTTTTTCTCCTTTTTTTTTTTTGTACATCATAATTGAACCGCACAGCTGCACACTGTAATCATCATGTCAAGGATAGTGCTTTACTGTCTTGGTAAACCAATATGTCCATAGTGCAAGGCTTTTTTAAACAAAAGTTCTCCTTTCCAGGGATTGTTATTAGCCTTGCTTTGTTTGACAAGCCTGCTCCTTGCCTGTCGCATCATACTGGGAGACGGTGATCAATCTTTTTATTACCAGAGCAATCGGCCAGAATGCCTCTCGAGACCAGATACTCAATTTTTTTTGGGGGGGGGAGGGAAGTTTACTAAAATTCCCATAAATTATTGGCGAGAGTCACAGACTGCTACTGTAATTCATTAGACCTGATTAGCAGTTCCTCCGTCATATTCCACCGGGGTGAAAATCAATTTGGTTGGGGGGGGATGTAACTGCCGTGACGTCAAGACGAAATGAATATTGACGCTTGGGCCAAGGGCCGTGATGAAATTGAATTCAACGCTGGGCTCTTCAGTCTGTCTCTCTCTTTCTCCTGTTTTATTTTTTTCGGTTCGTGGGTGGCGGATTTTAAGACCGGCGGTACACCTTTTTTGCAGTCGGCTGCCTACGCGCCTGCCGGTTTTTCTGTCTGCTGCTGTCGTCTCTGTAACAGCAGGTTGTTTTTGGTGATTCCTCTCGGCGGGGCTCGGCACGGTTTGTTTGCAGTGGAGGAGAGACCGATAACACAGTGGAACCCAAACGAAATGCCTTGAGGAGAGGAAGGATATTGGAAACTTCAGAGGTTCGTAGTTAGATTACTTAGATGCATAGTATCTACGACTACTTTTTCCTGTCAGCGACTACTTTTTCCCATCAACTTTTAGTTGGCTTTTTACACTGCCTGTACATACCATTGATTTTAACTTATATGTACTTGTATTGGAAATAATTGGGTTTTTTCACCTCCATTTTTTGGATGAAAATTTTGTACCTACATGTATACTTTTTATATTTTGTTTTGTGATGAGTTAAGGGGAGAAGTAGGTATCTGACACCCTGTGTCTGAATCTGTTGTGCAAATGTTCGCACCCGGATGGGGAGCTTTTTGAGTGGATGAGCCACGGTCGTGCCTGCTGTCATCAATTGTGTGTACTTTGAAAAAATTGGGTGTCTTTTTACCTGAGTGGCATCGCTTGAACAAGTGAGGTAGTGTATTTAGATGCATTGGCATGCTCAGCAGGTTTGCTGGGGTTTTGGCTAAATGCCCACAAATACAGATGCTGAAAGGTTCGACGCGCCCGGTTGACAAATGGACAACCTACATGTATCTGGGGGCACCAGGCAAAGAAATCAGCAAATTCAACTTGGCTCATGTTTCTGCCAATCATTTTTTTTTTTTTTTTTTTTTTTTGGTCGCTTCCACTCGAGTTCATACACAGGCCATTCACAATGTGGCAGAGTATCGAATTGCCTGCAAAAAGTGCTCGGATGTGATCAGTTTTAAGTTTGTCAGCTTGTCAGCTGCTGCGTCTAGCGGCATACCCAGGATTTTGGGGGGTGGGGGATGGGGGAGGAGAGAGGGAGGGGTAGGACTGGAATTTACTCCCATAAATACATGTAGCTCATGATGCTCAAGCCCTCTCCCCTGGGGGGGGGGGCTTGGATGTACATCTGTCGGAGCATACATGAAGGGTCAGAGCTATAGGGAATACACTTTACCTTACCTATTCATAAACTTTTTTTTTTTTTTAAAGGAAAAAAATGTATCCCAGAGAATACTGTGATTGTGTTTGCCATTCAAACCGATGTTGTCAAAGCTGAAAGGCAAAATCGGTTCCGTTCCTTTACTACAAAAGGGAATGGCTGTGCAAAAGTGCTGTAGTGATTCATTCAAATTAAAGCTTGCATGTTTCATACTTAGTCACGAGTGTAAAATGTTTGGGGGCCTTGAACCGTTGAAACACTTTCAGAGATTGACATGTACCGGTATAAATCCCCACGAAAAACACTGCTACAGGTAACCTGACTGACGCCCTTGGCCTTGTTTTGTGTTGCACGTACAGTACAAGAACATCCACACCTGTTTCACGGTACAAAGTGTGGACGTTCGTTTGTTCTCCTGAAGTTAAGGAAACTTGAGGAAAATGCTCCTTTTTCTCCAACTAGGATAACTCCTTCGAGCTGGATTCTTGATGATGATTCCCTGGACTGTTCCTCTTCAGTTTGCCACGGATAACCCTGGCCTCAAAATGCCTCTGACGCTGTTTTTCAGAGAGGGAAACATTGTGTGGACATGTACGAGTCCACACAACACCATCGTACCCTACATTATGTGGACTTCTTTTGTGCAGAGGTCCACACTATGTATACTATGCCCGCACATCCAAACACGAACAACACACTTTCTCACATGTTGTCTGTCACAACACTGAATTGGGGTTGGCACCTGAACAAGTACATGTACATGTACATTTTTTTATACTGTAACCAAGTTGAACACGCACCTGTTTGGGTGTACACGTGCCTGCGGTCAATACACCCAAACATGCTCTTGTGTGTCTTTCATTATAACGGCACCACAGCCCCAAACTTCCACATTGATTTTCGTCCTTTCCTCATCACTGATGTCCAGTTGGGTTCTCACAGCTGGCATAAATATATATGCATTGTGTAGCCTACATTACAAACCACAGCTACACGGAAATTTATCCCTTCTGTCATAGCAGCATTTGAAGTGCGAGAACCTGTTTGCATATGCCTGGTATTATATTTTTGAAATTGATTTTTTAGATTTTTGTGCAGCATTGGGCTCCGTAGGCTCCGCCAAATTTCCGCTGTGTGCATGTATGTACGTGTCTTTGTTGGCTAGATCAACTTAACCAAAATTTTCATGAGTAATTTGTTCAAGTTATTGCCATGAGAAAAACGTCTGTAAAATAATAAAAACTGTGGAATTTCATCAGTGAAGTCAGAAAATGTAAATGTACAGTTTGAAGTACATTTACAATCATATTTGTAGGATTTGCATTATTGCTTTCCACCGCTACCATTCAGAGGGGCAGCTCAAGCATGCACATGTACAAGTCTGTAAACAGCAATTTCAACTAACAACAGCAGCAACAATCATATACCCTAGTCAGTGGTAGTAGGATTTATAAAGCACCATTTCATCTACCGGTAGATCATGGTGCAAAGCAACGCCAGATGGTCCCAAATCTATACATGTAGGCATCTCATTGGGAAAATGGACACAGAGTGTAAAGTTTTCCTTGCATGTTGAAACGGTCTTCAGTGATTTGATGAAAGAGCTTGGTCCGTGCTCCACCATAGAAAAGTAAGTAGACCCATCTCACATCGCATACTACATGTATTTTTGTGTGGGCTGGCAAAATTTACAGTGTTCGGTTCTCCCTAGGTGAGCAATATGCTCTGCCTCACAATGCATCTGCTCACGGCTGATGTTTGGGGGGGCGGGGATATTTTATTAAAAGTTTACGAGCACATACACAGTGTAATCATGTCCATGTAATTAGGAAACACACTGGTGCTGTGCACATCTGTTATTTAGGTCTGGATTATATGAATGTTAATACTCGTACCCTTTACATTAATCTTTTGCCTGTACAGATGGCCAGTTTTGCCAATCTGCGGTAACCGTTCCAGTGTGAAAGTTTACCTCTCCACAGTTTTCAGTGCATACCAGTAGCCGTAGTTCTGTCGGCATCCCGTTTGAAAACCAATTATAATGTCGTGTTTGTCATGCACGCTTTGTTACTTCACCTGCTGGTACAGTAGATCTAGCGATCAAACTAGAAAGTGACATGTGCTTACTTTGATTGCTTGTGTTTGGGGGTTTCATTCAGGATTGCTAAAACTCTCCGTCCTTCAGCTGTGCAGGTTGAAAGTGTCTGTCCTGTGGCTGGCAAGAATTGAAAAGGGGGGGGGAATGGGTCACATAAGGATGTAAAAAAACACAAATCAGACCACCCTCTCAGTTTTATTTACAAAAAGTAGGAATGGGTGACAAAAGCAATAGAATCTACCCATTCTCTTGAGCATTATATACAAGTGAATGACTTTTACAAAGTCACATTCATTGGAGGGTTCCTAAAACACATGTACTGTCCCAAAAAGGTGCCAAAATTGGGTTCAGTCTGTCCCTGTAATTAAGCCAAACAAAATCATCCCATGACTGGCAGTATTGCGCACCTGAAGGTTCCCAGTCATTTCTGGCAGAATGGTAAATATTTGTTCTTTGCTGTCGGTGCGTCCTTGCTTTTGCGTTCAGAGTTATTATGGTCACTCGGGGTACCATGTTTATGCGGTACTTGTCACCATGCGTCCTGTTCATAGGCCTGTTCACAGACTTGGCAACTCCATCTTCTATGAGCTGCAGAGTCTAGCAAATAAGGGTTGTTTTATTTTGAAGAGTACGGTACAGTTGGCCTTCTTGTCACACATGTACAGTGTACATGTACGCGTGCCCGTCCAAAATCATACAATGCCCATCCAAAAGGCAGGTGGACAGGTCGCTAGACAAGACACATGTACAATAAAACTCTCTGTCTTAGTACCGGTGCCGTGCAGGTACGGCAGATGCATGAATAGGAGAATGGACGTTTTGCTGTCCATCATAATTTACTTAATTTCCACAGTAGGTTTTTACCTGGCAGTGTGGTACATGTACATGTATGTGTGTGAACACACGGTCAACAGCCTCACATGCTCATGTTTTTCCTTCATGTCACCGGTACCACAGCCCATTTTCGTATTGATTTTTGTCCCTACGGTACCTTATCACCGGTGTCCAGTTGAGTTCAGGGCATTGGCATGTAAACGTACACTGATAAATGTTTACCGTGTTGCCTCCAAATGTCTCCTCTCTCCAGTTTTGAATTATAATCCTTGTGGATGCAGTGCAGGTATGTACATGTACCGGTATTTCACTGGTTTTTCTTCACCTGTGCTGTTCAGAATGGCAGCTCTAGCATACACAAGTCCCAAATGGGGAAAAACAATCAAATAGTAGAGCCTTCTTTAATGTCCTACTGGATTTACATGTATATGTATGGGCTGTCAAATTTGTCCTTTTAATAGCATTTGGGCTTTGCCTTAAAATGCATGGTACATGTACATGTACCTTTTCCCTATTAACGTTAGAATGGGCCCAGGTAGTTTCATTAATTGATATGAAGTTCATGCGTGTGTACATGTACTGTACATGTCCACATCCTGTACGTACATGTTATAAGGAAAGTGTTGATCTGTCATTTGGGTAATTCCAGAAATTAGGGATCCAAAAGTGTGACATTTTGGTGTCCCTGCTACACTGTACATCTGACCTTTGTTATTTGACATGGAAATATCACCAGAATTGGTTTCAAACTGTTACTATTTGTTAGGCAGCCTAATTTGCATTAATTCATCACTCCTGGAAATTAGGTGTTCCGAACTTACAAAATCATAGGTCAGATGTGACAGGGACACGAAAATAAATGGACTCCTAATTTCTAGAATTACCCATTTGGCATTTTGATGCATGTATTATTTTGTAGTTGCAACTGCATAATATTATCCCGTACTGGTAGGCGAGGACTTTTGGACTTATTCTGGTGCTTTAGTGCAGAGGGCAGTCATACTTTGCCCACCTCCAGTAGCCTTTTCAGTATGGCATAAAGGGTTTCTACTCCTCAGTTCATTTCAGCGTACATGTACAGGTAGTGTTCTGGGCATCACTTTCGAAATCCAATAGTTATGGTTGAATGCAGGTTTTTCTTATTTCAAGTCTCTGGTGCATGCACTGTACCGCGGTACATGCAGATCGGTTGATCAAACTATGTACATGTAACGTAGAAAGTTCCACCAAATCAATTTTGCTTGCTTGTCCTCGGGGTTTCACAGAAGATTTTCAAAACTTGCCTCTTTTCCAGCGGCAGAGTTTGATAAAAAACAGTGCATGTCCTTTGGCTGGCAAGAATTGAAAACAGTTTGGGGGGGGGAGAAATGGGACTCGTATGGGATGTCATGAAATCGACAGCCCAATGAATTTCATTGACAGACAGCAGGAGCGCATGATAAAAGTAAACTACATGTACATGTAAGTGTAAATCCTCTCTCTCTTTGGACACAACTGGCTGGATTTTGTGATGAAAAGATTTGATTGTCCGAATTGTATTAGGGAGGGTTAGTTAACCATCCCCCCCCAAAAGCACCAAACGAGTTTGGTAGGAGCGGTTCAAAAAGTGTCTGTCCTTCAGGTGGCAAGAATTGAAAAGGGAAGGGGGGGTGGGAAGAGGATGCATGTAAGATGTCCCCCCAGAAAGGACGATCCAATCAATTTCATATACAGGTTGCAGGAATGCGTAATGAAACTGACTGAGCTGTGTCTCTGTCAAGCACTCTGTACAAGTTAGTGGATTTGATTGTCCAAATCGCATTTATTGGAGGGTTACCAAACATCTCATCTCCTCTCCTCCATCCCCCCCCAACAAAAATGCCCATCCAATAGACGGACGGATGGGCCATTAGATAAAATGCGGCTCTCGTTTATTGGCCATATCTCTGAATCACCAAAAAAAACAAGTAATATGAAATACAAAGAATATCAAGCTGATAAGAGAAGAATTACAAAGCTTATTTTAGATCACATGTGTTACAGTGTAGTTCCCTTTTCCGATTGATGTGTTTCAAGTGGGTAGCATTTTGCCACCATGCCGGTAGTTGTTTGTGGGGAGACACTTGTATAAGGAAGTGAAGAATTGATGTCATGGGCCACAGGGCTGTGCTCAGAATGCTGTGTACTGCAGTACTAATGCAAGTTTAATTTGGAGGTAGCCAATTTCTTCCGTGGAGGTCATTTGGCTGTTGGATTTGAAAGGAGACTCAATTTGCCGTCGAGGTTTCTCCTTGATTCATTTTACACTGAGATGCCAGTGCAAGTTGTTGCCGGATTGCACCGCATCCAGCATGCCCACTAATCCCCCCCCTCCTCTCATCCTTCCCCCCTCCCTCGTGACTTTCCACGGAATTAATGAATTTGCCACCTGGTGCCTAAATGAGTCAAGCCAATTACCGGAGACAAAATGGGCGATTACCTCCGTCACGGTTTCTCAAGAACCCCCCCTGCAGAAGCTCGCTGATTGCTGGCAATCTCTTTACTCTAACCGACATCACTCCCCCCCCACTGACGATTCTGTCTGTCAGAGTGAGTCATTCTCAATTGCTTTGCCACAGTGAGGCATATTGTCAAAATGTGCATACACCGTTCTGTGTGCCGGTATTCCAGCGCCGGGGAACCCACTGAAGCACAGTGTCTGTTTTCTTATTCAGGTGATTGCCGTTCTGTGACCACATCTTCCAGTTGGCTGGTTTTCAAGTGGAGCACCTAAGGGCATCAGTTAACACCACCAGTGCGCTCAAAGTACGTAACGGGCTCCGCTTTGGTGTTGCAGCAGACCGGGCCATTGATGCAAAACAGTGATTGGTCGTTACTTTGGCAGTGTTGAAGTCGAGTCCATCGCGAGTCCCTTCACAAGAGCAACCCCAAGTAAGGTTTTTGATCAGGAGGGATGCTTTTGTCACATTTTTATTTGAATAACTTTTGACTTAGCTTAAGACTGATTGGCTCGTGATGGATTTGAAGAGACTGGTGACGCTTGGAAAGACTTGTGAGGGACTCGGCTGCGCCACTGCATTTTGGTCCTTCGACATTTTTCCAAAGTTTAGATGTCCTTTAATTTTCTTGAATAAAAGATGACACGATTCCCAGGGACTGTCTTTATCCGTGTGCAAAATTACTGGAAGACATTTATGCGTCGGACAGGCCTAGGGGAAAGTTGACTGTACATTGTTCATCATTTGTTTTACTGTCAAATTTTGGTTTTTCAAAAAAAGGTTGTTTATCTTCTCTGCTCCCTTCTGTTCTCTGGAGTTGAAATTGCCTTTTCTTAGTACTGTTTTCTGCCAAAATAAACACAAAAATGAAATTCTTATTGTCATTCTTGCATTTCAGAAAGTTTCAACAAGTTTCAAGACATTGTTGGATCTGAGGCATACCCCCCGTTTTTAGTTTCAATTTCCCCCCCCCCCCGAGAATCGGTCCTTCCGGCTCGAGCAAGAATCCAAGATGGCAGTGCACTGGGGAGGGGTGATCGCTATTATTGTCTTCTACCTGCTCATCCTGGGCGTGGGACTCTGGGCGGCCCGCAAGAGCAAGGGAAAAAATGACTCGGAGGATGTGATGCTGGCCGGCAGGAACATCGGCCTCTTTGTGGGCATCTTTACCATGACAGGTAGGACGTTGAATTCTTCCATGTGGATGCCATGCTCAGAACAAGAAATATCGTGCACGTTCATTAGCACGTATGTACATGTAGCTCAGGGGAAGGGTGCGGAGTTTCAGGTTGAAACATTTAGACAACACTGATCAAGTAAGATCAAAATTTGGATGGGGAAAATGGGTCGTGAATTTTATTTTTCAACGTGCAGGCGAAATCCTGGCAATAGCCGGCTTTGCTTACGTGCTCATCATATAGCGTGGGCATTCCTTGGTTTTTGTGTAGATAAAATGGAGAAAGATTTTTGCATTGCCTCCCCGAGATACAGGACACCACGTGCAGTCGTTCCACTTACACCCATAGGGGCAATTCTCCGATTTTTGTGGTCACATGTACCAACCGATTTGTGTATGAGCAGTTGCCTACCGGTAGTTTCACTGTTGGGTTAACCTGCAGTGAGTAGTAAATTTGTACGTGTAGGTAGAGTGCCTTGCTCATGGACACAGCACAAGGCCAGGAATAGGACTAGAACCCCGACCCCCCCCCTCCCTGCATCCATAAATTTATCGGGAATTCCACCAAGATGCCATGCTTTCCCCTCCAGTACTCGGCATATATGATTACAGGCCAGTAAAATACGTGTAAGGTGCCATGTACTATGATGATAAAGGGCCCCACTATAAACAAAAAAGTGGGCAAAAATATTCAAAAATTTTTTCAGTTGTTCAAGAGACAAATTAGATTCTTTTTTCCTCATCTCTCACTCTCCTTTTGGTTTTCGACCGGTTAATTGATGACTTTTGGAAATAATGTACCAGTATTTCAGTCCAAAAAGGAGCACCCTCAAAAATGTCATTTTAAAATGTGAAGCCTACACTTTCACCGCAAAACTTTTTTAGGGGGCCCTGTTTTGTCCAAACTTCTCAAATCCGAGCAAGGTCCTTCCAGTGGCTTTCCCACCCCCCCTTCTTTTTTGTTTTATAAACTGTCCATCCTAGAAACCCTACTGTGTACAGGCCATAACATGGCTGCAATACTCGGGGCCTTTTTACATGTACATGTACACTATGAACATCTAACAAAGAAGCACCGTGCAATAACGATGGATGCCAACCGTTGGTGCACCGTGTTTCTTTTGTTAGATGTTCCTCGTGTTTATGCTGGCCTGCAACCACCGTACAGGTTTAGTGTGGACTGGTACTTACTCAAATAGCTTGTTTGCGTGAATTCATAGACAGTATTGTATATTGTACATATGTAGCATTGTGTTGCAACCATTCAGATTTCAAGAAATCCACTGTGTAGTCAATTGGCATACAAACTACATGTACATGAGGGAATGAAGTAAAGTTCTTTGTTTCTATTTTAACAATGCCAGTATTGTTAGGTCTTCATTGTGTGGTTTGTACTCTGTGTGTGCCCAGCTACCAATAGTGTGGTGATTTATGTTTGTGCATGTACAGTACATGCAGCTCCCGGTTCACTTTTTTCAGGTTTAGTGACAATTGCTCTGTTTACGGAAAACTTGCCCCCTGGGTAGGTGTGGAAAAGAACAATACTAAACCGGTATGGAAGGTACATGTAGGCCCTGATGCATGTAACTTCAGCCACAGGCAAGCTACTCTACATGTACATGTACAAATGTATAGTACAGAGGCCAGAAGGGATTTCCCTTCTGGCCTCTGTACTGTACATTTGTTTGTCATAAATGCTTTATCACAAAGACGTGCAGTGGCCAAAGTCAAAGTTTCTTGAAAGATGACCAGCTCTGGAATTGCATGTAGTTTTCAAACTGACAAATTGGAAGTCTCGATTTTAACATTGTATAACGTACGTGTACATGTCCATGAACATACATATGTATGAGTGATCTCAGAATGCTTTTTGCCTGTGTCATATGTGAACGTTCCCCTCATTGTTCCAAGCATGACTGTACATTCATGAGAAGAATCAAGATGTTTGTACATGCGTTTCGAGGATTTAGTAATAACCGCTTTTTTACAATCTGTCCGTATGCTTATTTGAAAACACATTTGTATTTATCACAATTAAATATTATTACAATTGATGTCAGGTTAAAAAAAAAAGGACAAGGTGGGGGGGGGAGTGTTGGTCACATTTACTTGTATCGTAAAACCAGATACTGTTATTGCTGTTAATGGAGCCAGAAGTTTGCCACTTGAGCGTAAATCTTTCATCAGAATGCGCACAAACTGAGGGAAAAAAAAGAAAGAAAGAAAGAACAAACTCTTGGGGAGTGTTGGTCACAGTTACTTACATCGCAAAACCAGATATTGTTATTGCTGTTAATGGAGTTCCAAGTTTGCCACTTGAGTGTAAATTTTCATCAGAATGCACACAAACTTAGAGCATCTTTCCTAGAGTAAGGTAACTGAGAGTGGGTGTACAGCAGCAGTGGTATTCAAGTCTTCATTTTTCATTTGAATGGGCACAAGCCTCTAGTGTCCCTCCTTGGGGTAAAGTGGCCTGCAAGTGGGTGCACAGCAGCTGTGGCACTCAAGTGTTCATATTTCGTTTGAATGTGCATAATCCTCTATTGTCGTCCCTAAAGGAAGGGACCTGAGAGTGGGAGCACAGCAGCAGTTGTGCTCAAATGACCATTTTTCATTTGAATGTGCACAAACCTGTTGTGTCCTCCCCATAAGAGGAGACCTGAGAGTGGGTAGACAACAGCAGTTGCACTCAAGTGTCCTTCAACCTCTCTTTCGCTTTTGTAGGTTACAGACATACATGTACATGTAGACTTCACATTTATAAAGTTACACACATGTAAGTCCCCAGCGGAATTCCAATAGAACAATTTTTGTTTTTCACCTTTGCGAAAAAGAATCTACCGTATGCTGTACTTAAGTCACGTAAATCTAGCTCTAAGTCTAAGAATAGAGAAGCATTGCAATTGCTGTCACCTTGTGTTTGTGCAAAATGTTGATCAATCAGGCAGCCTGGCAGCCAACGCAATCTCCCAAATGTGCCCGACCAAGGCTCCCTTCACTGACAAGGGATCGTGTCGGTTCGCCAAACAAGATCGTAAATTCAACATTGGCATTATGAGCAGTGATGGCTTGTAATATAACAACACATCCCGAGCCGCTGCTCCTGAACGCATGCTACGGGAGCAAACACGTATCGCAATCCATTAGCCGTATTACATCTCGTCCTGAGTGCTTGGCAAGCCGACAGTTTTTTTTTTCTGTCGGTGTCATTTGCAGACCACCTCTTGAAAGTTATTTCCGCACAGTTGTCTCTGTTGTATACCGGTTTGTACATACCGGACCCTCTCCAAATTATTGATAGCAATTTCTATAAAAAGTCACTGGGGATGGAAAATGGTTTTGAGTTTCAGACAGCAACCTGTCCCAGCTCAAAACCTGTCATAGCACACTTTATGGCATTAACAGCAACAGTTATTCGGTTGATTTCAAATCCCAGTTTTATTCCACAGTACGTAATGCTAGCTTTCCCCCCTGCTAAATCAAAATGTATTATCTTTCAAACTGTTTGGTAAGGTAAACAAAATACACTATTGGTTCCTCCTGCCAGGGAGTTTTCCATTGCTTGACGCAGACGTCTGTGTTCTCTTAAAGTCCTGGAACGGATTCTGCCCAACGAAATCATTTTCAAATTTGTCGCACTAATTAGGAAACTGTTTTCATCTGTCCAGCACAACGTACGTTTGGACAATTTTGACCTTTGTGGAAGATACATATATAAACTGTAAATCAGAGTTCGGTGTATTTTTAGGTTATTCCTTAGTATCCTTACAAAGTTGAGGAGGTCGTGAAAGTGAGAGAAACAAGCTCTGAGGTCTGCTGAAAATTATTTCAACTGAAACACCCATGTTTGAAAGCCTGACTGTTTATGGCAGAGGAACCTAGTTGTAAAAAATTTCCCGAGCCTTGTGTTTGCCATTGAAATGGAGCAATTACTCATGTTCAACCCCTTCCCCCTGTTGTTTGAGTATGACGTATTTTGACAGCGTAATCTCAATCTGAAATCCGTTGAAGGAGAGTTACTGAGAAATTTTTGACAGCAGGGTTGGTGTTCATTACAGACGTGTATTACGCTTGACATTTTATCCCGTGGGCGATCTGACGCGTGCTCATCACGATCTGTCGTTCCCCGTATAAGTTGCCAAACCGATTGGCCAGCCCTGAGCCCTTCCAACAAATGGTTTGTGGCGATTGATTAATCCTGCTGAGTGAGTTGCTTCACTCATGGCTCTCCTTGTGGCTTCCTCCGAACCCCCCTCATCCACTTTCCTTTCCGCCCAACTTGACGTCGGTGCCAGTACGGATGGTTTCGTAGAAGACACCACTGCTGTCACCATTGCCTACGTTTTGTCCCTTCCTTCAAGTCCTTTCGTCTCCTCATCAACTGTTGCCAGCCTCTAATTTTCCCTTTCCGGCCGCTGACCGTCAAGCTGCTGACTCGCCGCACCGCAGACTTGACCACCTGTCGTGACGAGGCCGGACCTAAAAGGGAAAGTCACGCTAAACCGCCAGCTAATGCAGGCCGACATCTATTGATCGACAAGGCAGATCGCACAGGATTGGCTTTCGCTGCACGCCGCAGTGCACCTGGTGAAAATGGACAGAGGTCTTTGTTGGTTAACAGTTCTTGGTTCAACACTGCATGCCTACTGTTGCACAGAATGAACATTTTACTCACACACATGTATCTTTAAATTTTCAGACAGCTAGAGTGGTGCAGCTGCATCTGCATTTTCATATCTACATGTGTACATGTACATGTGCTTTGTTAACTTTCCTTCATGTACATCTACCTCGATTTGTCGTGGGTTCCTTTGAACAGCCACCTAAAGTGCATGTCTCAAGATGTTACCTGAAAGTCGGGGACTCGCTTAACTTCCCCCACCCCTTTCAAATAAAAAGGAATTTCACAGTTGCGACGTCTCCTCTCCGATGAGTTGCAACCTGAGCTAAGAGCTTGTATCGACTTTCAAATTCCCTGAGGTTTGTTTCATGACGAAGACC